TTTAAGAAAGCGGCTAAGCAGTGGATGGATAGTACATGCGTCGACTTCAAAGAAAACAAATCTGGTAAATTCGAAGTAATTAAGATCAGCGCATGATTCACTTGAACAGTAGAGGTTTAGCTGAGGACAGAATTGGTGTATTTATGGAAAACGGATGCTGGTCGTCTGTTGGCAAACGTGGAGGACTGCAAAAGCTTTCACTTGGTAGAGGCTGTGAACATGTAAGAAACCCTTAGTATGAAGGAAAGTTATAGTTATGAATATGACTAAACTACTCTACCTGGAAATTCAAATCCTACGCCTTTTTTTGGCATGCAGTGTTCAGCTAGTGAATTCTCTTTCCACTACTAAGAATTTTCTGTTCAGGTCAGAATAGCTGCACATGAAATTGGTCATGCTCTCGGATTCTTTCATACTCACTCTAGACACGACCGAGATGATTACATCACCGTTGACATAGAAAACATCGAGGTAATACTTACGAGCAGTTGAATGAGCTCCGTGATATCGTGAGTGAATTAAGCCTGGTGAGACAAGCCAGTTCAAAACCAAGTCGAAGACAGACAATAACAATTATGGTATACCATACGACTACGGTAGTGTGATGCACTATGAGGCCACAAGGTACTCGATATATCTAGCATGTACTGCATATATTATAAATACTGGGCTGGTGAATGAACTAGAAGTTTTCAGCTTTGCTGTTGACGACGAAAGGCCCACTCTTGTACCTAAGGATTTAAACTACACAGAAACGCTCGGATCCCCCTTCATTAGTTTTTACGACATTTTGATGATGAACATCCAGTATAACTGCTTAGGTGACGGGTTGTTTATGGATTTCAGAAAATCCTTGGAATATGTCAAAAAACACGATGTTCCAGACCGATGCGAAGGCATAAACACCCAATGCCGGAATGGCGGATTCGCTCATCCTCGTGCATGCTACAAATGCGTCTGCCCTCACGGATACGGTGGAAAACTCTGCGGCAGAAGAGTAAATGTCTTTTTCAGTCTAAACTCCCAAATCTTTAGGAAAATTTTTCAGCCAAAAGGTTGCGGTGAGAGATTGAAAGCGAGCGAAGATTGGACCACGCTTGTCGATGATCTGGGCGATAAAGAAGCCGGTCATGTGTATCGAGAAGATTTTGTGAAGTGCCATTATTGGATTACGGTCCGTTATTTCTAAAAATACAGTTACAAGCTGTCCACTTAATAATCCATTTTGAGGCTCCAAGAGGGAGAAAGATTTAAGTGAAATTCGTGGATTTCACAAAAGGAGCTGACACTGATGGATGTCAGCTTGCGGGCGTTGAAATCAAAACAAAGAAGGACCCAGGCCTCACAGGTTACAGGTATGAAACCATCCTGTTTCAGTAGGTTAGAAACTCTGATTATAAAAACAATACTTACTTACAACTTGTGTTCAAGGTTTTGCTCGGATAAATTCGCCAACACTACGCTCACCTCGACTAGAAATGTGGTACCAATAATAACATATAATAGGTACTCCTATACAAAAACCAAGTTAGAGTACCGCTACATTTGAAGCAATTGTATCTATATTCGAAGAATCTATATTCAGTGAATAAAAGCTTTGGAGCATTCTGTCAGAACAGCGCTCTTCTACCTAAACTCCCATATTAGGTAGATTGCATTCTAGTCCAACACGTGAAAGTTGAGATATCTGGATGGTGAGCGGAGAAAGAAGCTTCTCTCATTTGGTGAGCCTTTCCAAGTCTTGTAAATATCACACTGCTAGGCAAAGGTCATATGCTCGCTTGGTCAACCATTTAGAGGCACAGTTCACGATATTTTGGGTCACCCAGATTATGACGAAAAATGCAAGATAAGATGGAAAATAGTGCGATGGAGGCAAAGGAGCTGCGTGGATAGGTGTTTCCGAAGTGAAGAAAGGCTCCGAAAAAACGGCAAAAGGGGTCTGGACGAGAATGAGACCAGAAAAATGAAGAGTGGGCGTTTGGACGAGCTATGCACAGTGCGTCATTGCGTACTTGTGAGTCCTGGTGCAAATAACTTATCACGGTAAGCAAAAATCCAAGCCCTTGTAAGCATAGATTAACAAAAAAAACTCTAGTTACAGCAAAAATAGGTCACCTTTTTTCAGCCTCTTGGGGTAGGAAATGAAAAAAGGCAACGCGGCTGCAAAAGGAATAACGGAGAAAAAAAGAATGAGAGAAAAACATCGCCTCATCACTCGGCGATATGCTGATTGTGTGTGGGTCCTAAAACGAATAATAGCACTCTGTATTACTTCGACACTCGTCTGACGTGACATCGATCGAAGGACAGGAAAGCGACTCAAGGCAGCAACAGGGCTTCCATTATGCCTGACCGTCGAGATTTTGGGAGCGAGAGGGTCCCTTCTACCACCCACGGGGGCACTGATTGTTTTTTAGGGAAGAACTCAGTAACCATTTTTATCGTTAACCGTGCCTTTAAGCTGGCACGGTCAAAGAAAGTTGGGTCCCATTCTGGGTAACGTGTCATACGCATAAGCTCACGATATCAAACGAGTAGAATGACCAGCTCAAACCTCGCTCCTCAGGTTTCTTGCTCAAAACCATATATATCTATCAGTAATGCCGGCTGTTGAGAAAATGTTCTTGGCAGACCATTGAGAGGCCAGCAACTGGTGGTATAACAAAGTGTGAGATTTTGGACAAAAGACAAATCCAAGAGGCGGTTGCTGACCTATGGCCCGAGCGATATCAGACGGGTTCCCCACTAAAGTTCTTTACGGGCCAGGCAATCTGCAACTCCCATTTAGCGAAGTTGTTGAAGAGACCAGCAATAGAAGTCGCAGATGGTCTTCTTCTTCATTGCTCAGATGACGTAGATGTATCATTTAGTATGGTGGCGCTCCTTCCTCGATCTGGCGAATGCTCACCCAGACGACTTCGGTCAAAACTACAGCTCCTCTCTCACACATCTTCCCTTACCGCTTCTTTGCACAGTTTCGAGAGTTTGGACTTGCGGTTTACGAAGATCTACAGTAACTATGAGCTCGAAAATTTTTGAAAGGGAGTATTTCCCGGTAACCTGGGAGCCCTCTTCTTCCTAGTTCATTATGGAACGGTT